GCGCGAAAGAAACCAACGACGCGCAATGGCGGCCGTGGACCACTCCGCCATGTCACCCGAGGCGGCGGACGGCCCAGTAGAAGTGGACAGCGCCAGAGGAACGCAAATGGGCTTCGCACTCTGCCCAAGACAAGTCCACGACGCGCACGACATGTACGTCAGCAAATGGCGGTCACAGAAAAAACCGACCCAAACCATATTATCCACGACGCCTACGACCCAGTGGGAGGGGAAACGCGCGGCAATGGCCTCGACGCATTCATGGGCGACATCGCCCATGCACAGAAAATAGAATCGGCCACAGCACCGGACATAGAAGCAGAAAGCAGCACCACCGACCGACTAGTCGACACACTGAAAGAAGGAGGTTGGGGCCTCGACGACAGCAAAACAAGCCATTCATTATAACCATTGGAATGGGGAAGCCACGGCACCACCGGGACCCTACGACGCAGCAGAAAGATTAAAAGGATTAGCCCTCAGAGAAATGAGGGCACTCGGGCTGCGCCCGCCAGCAGACCACGGCGTCGCGGGCGACATGGCCAGGCGAATTAGTATTATAAGATTAGCGCGGCGACAATGCGGTACTTTCTGGACATCGAGATCGCACCGCAAGAGATCAAGACGCGCCGCGAGAGATCAAACGACTCATGCACATGGCCTACGTCATAGGAGCGGCCTTCAGCGGACCAACGGCATGTGCCACAACTGCAGCACGCACCAACGCACTTGACAGCGCACCCAGCAAACACCGACGCACACGAGCAGGAGGAGCCACGTCTTGGAAAAGAGAGGACGGCACCTCGCGCTGCAGCAACCTACGACAAGTATTCAGGTATTGGAGGATGGAACGGTCAGGCATTGCATTGACGGTGCGACGATTAAGGCGGTGCCAGAGCTGGCCCCGCTACCCCGGGGAGCACGGCGCATTGCCTGCTGCAGTATTCGGCCCCTCCCGACTAGACTGATCACGGGGAGGCAGGAGGCTCGCGGAAATGGAATGGATAGGACTGTGCCACACCTCCGTTGGCCCAATTGTTTGCTGCCGGCATGCAGATACCGCTTGAGAGAGACGAGTGGACGGGATGGCACGCGCGCAGAGACTCTGACTTGGCTATACACATATATATATATATATGTATATATGTACACATATATATATATGAGACCCGGCGTACATAACAAAAACTATGGTTACAGGCAGACCCCAGGATATTGCACAGCTACGAAGGAAACTGGGGCGCGCGAGCGAGGAGGGAGGAGGAGGTCACGGAGGTGAAAGGGGGAGAGGAGGAGACACTACTACGACCCGACTGGCGCAACTACGGGCATGTGGCCACAGAGGAAGTGGAAACGACATGTGGCCAGAGGTTTACAACGCGCGCGGCCATTGCAGGACGCCGACGGGAGGTGCGCGGCATTAGAGCAGCAGCGGTTACAGTAATCGTCAACAACCAATGCCCGCGGTGCAAGAGTAGGTTCGTAGACAAGAGGACAACGATCGACCGCGCCACGAGATCGGCGCGCGCGCGCGGGGTGCGCCGCCGGGACAGATCCAAGTGAGCCCGCCCCGCAGAAGAACCCAGGGCACTAACATGTAGAACCTGTACTCATCAGGCTCAAACAATAGAGGATTACCGGGCGCGCGTACGAGGGCATTTCGCGGGGCCCGAGTAGATCAGAGCAGCCAAAGATGTCGCGGCCCGCGGCCTCAAACACCCTGAACGACGATCAGATGGGGCGGAAGGCCCAGCGCCCGCCGCCGCCAGGCCCAGAAGAATTAAAACCGCAGAAGCAGGCCAACATCGGCGACGGCAGCAGCAGCAGCAGCAGAAGTCAGGCGAACGCACCAGGGGCCCGAGGAGGAGGGCGAGGTCGCGGACCCCTAGGAGGTGGAGGCCATGGCGGGGGAGGAGAAGGAGCGCGAGCAGACCAACGAGACAGCGCGCGTGCACTACAGCGGCTGCGCAGAGCGCGGCGGAGACGCGCAACCTCGCCCGCATCGCCAGCGAGTTCTGGCCGGCCACCCTCGCGGAGGAACGGGCCCAGGAACCGATCATGGCGGGCCGCGAGCACGGCGGGCAGGCGAAGGCAACGGGCGGAGGCCGCGGACACGGCCCCCCGCGCGGCCACGTCGCAGCCGCCTTCGCGGAGGGCGCAGCAGCGGCGCTCGAGACCAAAGCGCAGGACAACGACCAGACGCAGCGCGCGACGAAGACCCTCGCAGAGTTCATGGAGCAGCTGGCCCAGCCCTGGGGACCGACGTTCGCGACAGAGGTCTTCCTGCAGCGGAAGATCCAGGAGGCCCACGAGCCAGCGGGCGGGGAGATGGAGACGGAGCCGCGCAAACCCATGGCCATGCATGCGATCGACACGTCGCCGTCGTTCAGGGCAGCACAATTCGAGCAGAACCTCGCCCAGGCCCAGTGCGAGAGGACCCTAGGCTCCAAGGGGGACATGTTCAAGTAGTCCCTGGGGGTGGCGCGCGCGCGTTCCTCGGCACCGAGAAGAGCCGCTCGGGGGGGGCCCATGACGGGACTAGAGCGGGCGGCAGAAGCCCAGCTCAGCAGGCGCCGATAGTAGGCCAGCCGCAGCCACTAGAGCCGGTCAACAGCCCTCAGCCGCCAGAATTTGCGGGCCCCGCGAGCGCCTCCTCAGGACCATCGGGACGAAGGCCTTCCAGCGGACGGAAGGCCCTTCTCAGTCCCGCCGCACACCTGAGAGAAACAACTAGCGATGCAGATCAGCAGCGACCTCGAATGATACGCGACATTAAAAACAAAGCGTCGCGATTTGGGAGGCACATGGCCGAAGCACTACGCATGGCTACGTACTATCGGGAACAATACTCGAAGGAATGCGATCAAGCCATGGGGGCACACTGAGATAAGGTTGACACTGAGATAAGGTTGGCACACTGAGATAAGGTTGGACAGATACGTTCTAGACCGCCCCCCCACCCCCACGCACACACGCACACACGCACACGCGCGCACGCACGCACACACACACACACACACACACACACACACACACACACACACACACACACACACACACACACTACTACTACCTCCATCACTATTAGGCGCGTTGGCCCCAGCTGCAGGACGAGGCAGGCAGCTGCTGGAAACAGGATTTCACGACAGCAGCATGGGTACGAGTACGAGAGGACCTACTACAGACGGCAACTACTATGTGACGACGGCGGTCCGACAACGGTGACACACCCACCAGAGGGGGGGGAATAAAGGGCCCCACAAGGACAGCCATTACGGAGCCTCGGGAGATACATGAGAAACTGCACCAGGACCAACTAGGACATTCAGCACCAGGAGTTGGAACGGAGTGGAATCTCAGCTTTACCCAGACGTTCCGCCTCCTCCCACAACCACCGACACAACTACGGCCCCACGCCTGCCCCCTCCCACTACGTTGTGCCCCCCAGTCAAGGTGGCAACCACGCCAGGCCGGGACCGAGGCGACAATCTCCGACTCCAACCCCACCAGGTCCGCCTCCCACCGCAGCCCTTTCTCCTCGGCCAAAGTTTACGGCGTCGTCCCCGCGTGGGACCACAGTTGGAGCTACTACCGACACCGCGGCCAGTTGGCACGGCGCAGCAGCGCAGCCCAACGGCCTGGGCGGCGGCCGCGGCGGCCGAGCCCAACTCCCCAGCGCAGGAGACGGCGATGGGCATGGAAGAGGTGGCGATTCGGAAACCAGCTGAGCGCGGAGGCGGGCCACGAGACCACGTCTACGGGACCATGCAGTACCGCCTGGAGAAGTGCCATCACAACCAGATGGCATTATATGGCCTGCACAAGCAGCAGGAGCGCGTCACAATGAGCCTCGCGGGGATCACGGCCAGCAGGAGCCCCAACTAGCACGAGTGAATCGAGGGGACCCACGTGGCCGAACTACTACGGCAGCAACTGCACGAGAACAGCAAGACCATCGAGCACTGCCGAGCATTCAAGATCATTCTCAGCAGCCAGAGTCGGCTCCACCAGGGGCCTTCCCAATGGGAACAGTAAGGCGGGCCCCACTACATCTCAGTCCAGCAGGCCAGCTTTTGTTATTGAGCGGAGGGTGGGCAGGGGAGTGAGGGGGCGGAAGGGGGGGGAGTGCTATCAGAGGGAAGGGGGCACGCCTCCACGGGGAGGCCCCCCCGCCCGCCTGCGTCTCGCATCCAGCTCACGAAGGCAGGAGTCCCCTGCTACGGCGCAGCGGCCCCTACGATAGAGTAGGAGACCGCGCGCGCCAGGCAGCCCCCAGGACTAACAGTAGTGACGGGGGCCTTCATCCATATTTTCACCCCGGGCTCCTGTTCTTTTGTAGGCGAAGTAGCTCTGACCCCCAATGGGCCTCATCATTATCCTTATCCGTATCCTCCTCCTCCGCATTCGCCTCCTCCTCCTCCTCCACATCCTCCTCTTCGATCGTCAACGACGAGTCCTCATCCTCATCCGCATCGGAATCCTCACCATCGTCATATCAGCATCAACGCCGTCATCATCACCACCCTCAGCACCAGCATCAGCACCGTCATCATATCAGTACGCATCATCTTCATGACCATCACCATCAGCATCATCAGCGTCATCATCACAACCATCGTCATCAGCATCATCATCATCATCATCATCATCATCATCATCATCATCGTCGGCATCGGAATAGTTACCAGTATCCGCATCACCATCATCATCATCATCATCCTCATCATCACCGCCATCATCATCATCATCATTGTCAGCTGCATCATCATATCACCGTCATCATCATCATCATCATCATCATCATTAGCAGCAGCAGCATCATCATCATCCTCACCACCATCGTCATCAGCAGCATCATCATCAGCATCATCATCCCCCTCCCCCTCCCCCTCCTCCCCCTCCTCCCCCTCCTCCTCCTCCTCCTTCTCCTCCTCGTTTTCCTCATCCTCTTCCTCCCCCACTTCATTTTTGATCACCCAGCCGCCCCTGTTCCCCGAGAGGACGAGTCCGAGGACGACGACCCC